ATATATAATATAGAAACAGTTGAAGTTGAACAATGGTCAAAGGTTTTTATACAATGTCTAAAATTGTGTAACAGGAAATAAATAGCAAGGTTGCAAATGACAGAACTGTAGTGTTGGCATGCAGTTTGATTTTATAACTATAAGATGTTAAATGGCTTTAACAAAATAAGTGTTTTTTTTTTCTGCAGAATATGCAGTATGAATGCTGAGAGCTGAAATTTGCCAAAGAAGTTGAAACTGAACTTCTTTCAACTGTACTTTTTTCAGCGTGTATCCTCCATCTCACTCTGTCTTATATCCTCCGTCACCCCCAGGACAATATGGGGGAGAATGCTGATGACTCAGCATTCAGTTATATCACAACTAGGGTATAATATGATCTTTTGACCTTTTTTTCCTCTCTCCCTCAGTGAGCATAGCTACAAAGGCCAACCCCTGGGATGGGAAGACGTTGAAGCCAGAGAGTGTGCGCTCTCAGCTGGAAACCTCCCTGCAGAGGCTGCAGACAGACTGTGTGGACCTTTTCTACCTTCATGCCCCAGATCATCAAAACCCCATTCAGGAGACCCTGAAGGCCTGCAACCAACTTCACCAGGAGGTCGGATCATCAGCGTTAACAGACTAGAGTCAAAACTGTATAATGTGTTATATAATAAGTTGTTTTTAGTTTGTATACTGTTTTTGTTCATTACAAGTTTACATTCAAGTGTAATTTAATGTGAGAATTATCACCCTCAGGGAAAATTCAAGAAGCTGGGCTTGTCAAACTATGCATCGTGGGAAGTGGCTGAAATTGTGTGCATCTGCAGACATAACAACTGGATTGTTCCCACTGTTTATCAGGTATTACATAACAATCAAATTAATGTATTGTAATGTTAAAGGTGATTAAAAATAAACGAGATAAAATGGACAAAGTCAGATATTAATAGCATTTTTTTAAACTATTTGCTTCAAAACTACCAAGTCGAAGTTTTAGAAGCAGCTTTTGATAATAATGATCCCTCACCTACTGCGGGGGTCTCTGGAACGTGACCCTTGCTATAGGTGAAAATCAGTGAAGTAGCGGTGTCATATTTATTTTATTTATATATATTTAAATCTTTATAAACCTTTCCCACACTCCTACAAACCTTTCCCACTTATACACTTCATATGCTCTTAAACTGGCGATGAAGATGACGATGAGATGAATGTACTGCACAGCATGTACAATATACACAATATAAAAAAAAAAAAAAAACGGGTTTAAAAAAACCCACGAAAGTGAAGCCACAAGAGGTGAACCGCGATACAGCGAGGGACGACTCTACATTACAATGGACTGAAGTTCTTCTAGCACATTTAAGACGATTCCTGACATTAAAACAGAAATCTGTATCGTTTTGATTTTGCTGAATGTTTTGAGCAGAAAACAAAAACATGACCTATTAAATCTAGTTTGATTCTGAAAAACAGATCTGGAACAAAACTATTTGCCTTTTTTTTTTTTTTTTACTTCCCCCACCTGCTTCAAAAATTGTGTTATTACATATATATTTAAAGAAATCACCATAAGTACTTAGAAGCAATTTCTGAATGTTATGGTGACCCCTGCAGAAGAGAGCAGCTGAAAGAAAAACATAACCTGATGCAGTAAAAAGACAAGTATTGGAACGTTTACCTCCAAAATAGTTTGAATCTAATTTTTCCAGAATATTTCAACCTTCATCCATGGTTTGCACTGGTTTCAGTTTGTACGTCTTTTTTCAGGGAATGTACAACGCCACGACGAGGCAGGTAGAAACAGAACTGCTGCCGTGTTTGAGACACTATGGAATGAAGTTTTATGCATACAATCCTCTTGCAGGTACTGTGTTCTAAAAGTAGTTTCAAATTAAGTTTTTAGTTCATAAAGTGAAAATCAATGGCATTTCAAAGGTTTTAATTGTATTTTGCACAAGCTAAATCAAAACTCAAGTTTTTCTGAGTTCTATTATGTATTTTGAGTGACAGCAATGATGCGTGATTCTTGGCTCTGACATAACTCGTGTTCCTCCAGGTGGTCTTCTGACGGGGAAGTACCAGTACGAGGACAAAGACGTCTCTCAGCCTGAAGGACGGTTCTTTGGCAACAGCTGGTCGTCAGCGTACAGGGACAGGTAGACCAGCAGCTCGTTGTTGAACCACTTCTTGGGTGATTGCATGTTAGCACATACATTAACTGATTAATGTGTTTCTGTGGAAGATACTGGAAGCAGAGTCACTTCCAGGCCATAGAAGTGGTTCTCAAGGCGTTAGAGATGGTGTACGGACCAGAGAAACCCTCCCTGACTTCTGCTGCCATGCGCTGGATGTACCACCACTCTCATCTCAAGGTGACATTATTCTTGTTGGTTTTCAGTTTAATTAATGCATAAGCTCAAAACGTTTAAAGATGTACCAGGTTCATATCCAAACATTTCAAAATCCTACTTCTCAACATAAAATTTTACTTAGTTATAATCCAATTTCTGTGTAAACTTTATATAAGGACATAATACTGCAAAGTGTTGCTTTAAAAGATCGTCTTCATTTAACTTTTAAATTCTTTTACAATTGTGTGGACCAGGATACAGATATATATATATATATATACACATTATATATATATATATACACATTATATATATATATATATATACACACACATATATATATATATATATATA